GCTGAATTAGGAGTCAAGCGAGATTAAGTTTTAGTTGATTTTGAGCAGCGACTATGATAGCATTTGTAGAAAAGAAAAAATGATGCAACTTTATGACGATGGGAAAGAGACTCAAGCTTAGCAGATAGAGTGGGTCCAACTACGTTTACAATGTGTTTTTGGACTTTTTCTAGCAGAGAAAGAGCATCATTAGAAGAACCAGCTCAAATATAGAGATAAAAAATAAAATCAGGAGTAAAAAATTGGCAAGCAACCTTAGCAGATGTTAATTTAGCAATTGATTGTATATATGGTTTTCATTATCAGATGTTAATTTAGCAATTGATTGTATATATGGTTTCCATTAATATAGGAAGGTAGATAGTGTTGCAATAATTGTTTGCAGTAAATAGCTACTTTTGTTGGAGTTAAAATTCACAAGCCATTGCTAGCCCCGATCTGTTACAGAAATGAGATCAGATTCAAGATTGACTGCCTGTTCTAAGCAAAAAGAGAGAGAAAATGACAAGCATGAAAAAGTAGATGCTAATTTAGCAATTGATTTGCATGAAAAAGTAGATGCTAATTTAGCAATCGATGCCTTAGTAGATGCTAATTTAGCAATTGATTTTATATATTGTTTCCATGAAAGGTCAGTAGTAAACAATTATCCAAGAAGATGTTAAGAAGAGGATTCAGTGAGAGGTTTGCCCCTCATTAATATAGGAATATTGACAGTATTGTGATAGTTGTTTGCAATAAACAACTGAGTTTTGTTGGAGTTTTTTTTTTATTTTTTTTTTATTTCAATTCACCTCCTCAAGGCTGAAAAGGCCACTACAGACGAGGAGGCTACTTATTTGTGGCTATAACCCTCTCTCAACTCTATAACTCCGAAACACAAACCTTGACGTACAAGGCCGCTGCGCGGAGAAACGAGTTGAGTTTTACAAGTGAGTTAAAGTTTACAAGCCACTGTGAGCCCTAATTTGTCACAGAAGTGAGATAAGATTCAAGATTAGCTGTCTGTTCTTAGCAATTAAAAAGAGAAGACTTTTTGTCAAGACAGGAGTATTAAGTTGAGTCATCAGCAAAAAGAGCTACTTTAGATGTAAGGTTGTCAGGAAGATCATTAATGTAGATAAAAATCAAAAGATAGAACCTTGAGGTACTCCAGAAGTTGCTGGAAATAAAGAAGAGTGTTGGCCTTCGAAGAAGAGTGTTGGCCTTCGAAGAAGAGTGTTGGCCTTCGAAGAAGAGTGTTGGCCTTCGAAGAAGAGTGTTGGCCTTCGAAGAAGAGTGTTGGCCTTCGAAGAAGAGTGTTGGCTTTCGAAGAAGAGTGTTGGCCTTCGAAGAAGAGTGTTGGCCTTCGAAGAAGAGTGTTCAAGCCTTCAAAGAAGAGTGTTGGCCTTCAAGGGTGACTTTAATAAAGTGGTTAGAAAGAAACAATTTGATAATCTCAAAAACTTTTTCAAATACACAATTATTTTCAAGGCTCAGTCAGCAGTTATTAAATAGTTTAAAGAAAATTGAAGAAAGTTCTGGAGAACAATTTTGTAAGACTGTGGCAGGAATGTTTTCTGGAACACACGCTGTAGAAGAGTTTAATTGAGACTTTAGCAATGGAAGCTAAGGTGATTTGAATGTCTAACAATGGGATGTTTAATTGGAATGGAAATAAGAAAATGGCCATAAGATTTGAGAGTCGAATTAGAAGGAAAGTTATTTGCAAATTGTTCAGTTTTATCCTTGGGAGAGGTAATAAGACCAGTCCCATGAATGAGAGACTGAATGTTACACTGTTAGGAATGTTAGGAATTATTCATTATTAAAATTATTTCTAAAGCATTTGAACAATAACAGAAAATAGATATTATTATATCTATCTTATTTGATATCTATCTATCTTCTTATGATATAAGATATACATAATTGCTTTAAATCGGCCTTTTTTTTTTGAGAGATGGAGTTGACCAATTTTTTTTTGAATAAATGAAAAACAGTTAGTTGCTTCTCTTTGGTGGGACAGTTAGCATGTTAATGGATCACTGAACTTTTGTCATTTTAGTATAAAATGACAAAAGTTCAGTGATCCATTAACAAGCTCTAAAATGTACAAAGGATAGTTTGAAATATTTTATACAATTTACTGAAAACTACTGTTAAAAAGAATTAACCAGTTATTATACAACGTATAACATAACATGTTACACAACATATAACATAACATATAAACTGTTAAAATAGCTTTTAATTTTTTTTTTAAATCTGTAAATCAGCGTTTAGATTAATGGTTTCTATGAAGCTATTATTATTATTATTATTATTTTTATTATTATTATTATTGTTATTATCATTATTATTATTTTTAAATCATCAAAAACCTGAAAATGTGTTTTATTTAACCTATTTACATATATAATAATAATTTAAAAATAAAAAATAAAATAACCTATTTACAAATAAATTCATTTTCACAAATAATAATATGCTTAAACTAGTATGAAGTATAACTATAGATAAAAAATCTGCATACTTGTAAATTTTAAAAAATCCAACTCATTGTTTAAATGGTTGCCACAGTTTTTTTTTTTAAATGCTTGTTGATTGCTCTAACAAAATTTCATGTTACAAAAATGTTATATTAAAATAAGTTTGAAAACAAATATTCAAAAGTTTTTGATTTGTATTCTTTTTATTATTTCTGACTTAAATTATTACTATTTATAATGGTTTTTCTACCTATATTCTTTTAATATGTATCGGTCTGTGAACTTTGTTAAAATCTATATAACCTATTAGTTTACAATATTTGTAAAGATAGTTAAGCTGTTCCTTAATATAGTCTTATTGTTTGGATAGTGTTTCTTTTCTGTTGCCAGTTGTTATTTACTTATTTCACCAATTAAATATAGTCAAATATATTTGAACATAATTATATTTGCAAATTAAATATGACAAGATATTTATATTTGTCTATTTAATGACTTACATGATGAAGGCTATAGGTAATGATAGACTGAATCTTTGACATATAATGTTAGTCGCTTTTTATCAGAGTCTCTAAAATGTCAGTGAATGTATTTTGGTCTACTACTTATTTGTAATTGGATCTTACAACATTAATTTTTTTTTGCTCTTATCTTTAGCATCTATAAACATCCACAATGTATTGTGATTCAGCATGTCTAAGCAAATAAAATTTTATTTGAAAAATTTGAGAAGTTTTCTAATGTACATCCTGGTTTACAGATTAAAGAAAAAACTTTTATAGATGGATGAGGAGATGAATATATAGATTATAGAATATATAGGTTTTATAGATAAACGGGGAGAAATTTTCATTAGTTTACAATTTAAAAAAAAATAATAATAATTAGGAAAACAAATAGTGTTAGCATAATGTCAACATTTGTATCTCAATAAAATTACTCATCTTGGATGTAAACTGCATCCAGCTACCGTCTTGTAGAAGGCCTCCTAGGCAAAAACTAAGCAGAATAAGCAGAATCATTTTGCTAACCAGCCTTAAACCCCTTCTCCATCTATTAGGCTGACATAGATGTAAATCTGTTACATTGTTTCATGCGTAGGTTGATGAATGTGGATCTTCTTGACTATTCATAAATTTTTGTTCCTGCCTCCTTGATACTTGCTTGCAACTCTTCATGTTATCTCCTAGAGGCTGGTTGGTAGTAAGGTTTACCAAAATCTGTAATACCTCTTAGAGAGACTGATTTTATCAACAGGGTTGATAAAAGGTTTAGAGAGACTAATTTTATCAACAGACTGTAAAATATTAAAGTACTGAGTGTGCCATGTTGGGCATGATGGTGTCTTTGTTAGTGCTTTTAGTGTGGATTGTCCAGGCTACAAAGAGAGCCATACGTTATGACTTTGGGTTAATTAGTGGGACTGAGGCAACAACATAGCTGTTGGGTATAGATAAACAGAGCATGGGATACCATGCTCTATATATGAATGAGTCAAGTTTTCTTCAACATAAACTATGAAATAAAAGAAACCAAAAGTATTAAAAAACATAAAAAATCATCACTACTATCTAACTGTTTCAATGTATCTTTGACAAATATTTGTGATCTTTGAAAAAACTTTCCATCAGTTAAATCTTACTGCTCATTACACTGAATGACTCGGCTCTAATGCTACTGACCTTGTTGTCACTAAAGTCTTTAACTTCTGCATTTCTCAATCTTTTATTCAAGTAGTTAACTTTGTTAACTTCGTTTTCCAGACAATTTCCTAATCATTAACCTTCACTACTTGATTTACCTTCATTACTTGATTTACCTTCGCTCCTTAATTTCTTGTCTTTAAGCCTAGCTTGTGTTCAATTTCTCCTTTTTCACCCTTTGGTGGTTCTGACCATGCAATGATCTTTATAAATCTTTTATCTTGTACTTCTTCTTCAGACTTACTCTTGGCACTACTTGCTACTACCCTAAAGCTGACTGGGGTTCTTTTTGTGATTTTTATTTTGATGGTCCCGATTTGGGGTGATATCATTTCTCTCTCAGCTGATAAATATGCCTTCCATGTAACCTCCTGGGTTCACTCAGGAATGTAAGTTTTTATTCTTTCTTGTCTGTTCCAAGTCAAGCTCATTCTACTCCATGCTTTTCATCTTCTTGAGCTTTTGACAATGCTCGACATGCCGACCTTCTTCATAAGCTTGCTTTAAATGGTGTATCTGGGAAAGTTTTTGAGATTATCCAATCATTTCTTTCTAACCGCTTTATTTAAGCTATCCTCAAAGGCCAATAATCTTTTTTATCTTTCAGTAACTTCTGGGGTACCTCAAGGTTCTATACTTGGTCTTGTTTTGTTTCTTATCTACATTAATAAAATTAATTCCTGACAGTCTCTTTTTGCTGATTACTCAACTTTATAATCCTGTCTTGACAAAAAGTCTTCTCTTTTTGCTTAGAACAGGCAGCCAATCTAGAATCTGATCTCACTTCTGTAACAGTTCGGGGTTTGCAATGGCTTGTGAATTTTAACTCCAACAAAACATAGCTATTTATTGAAAACAGCTATTGCAACACTATCTACATTCCTATGTTAATTAAAGGTGACCCTCTCACTGAGTCCTCTTTTTTACATTTTTTTGGATTATTGTTCACTTCTGACCTTTCATGAAATCCATAATCCTTCTCTTTATTGTGCTCACCATTTTCTTACTTCTGATTCCATTCTCTACCTTTACAAATCTCTTATTTGTCCCTGTATGGAATAAAATTGTATGTCCCTTATATGTCCCTGTTGTTATATTTGGGCTGGTTTTTCTAATGATGCTCTTCCTCATTTAGACAAGGTCCAAAAAGGTCCAAAAAGTAAATGTGCTTGAACCATCTCTATCTGCTAATCTTAAGCCTCTTTTCTATAGTCGTAAAGTTGCATCTTTTTCTCTTTTCTGCAAATACTATCATGGTTGCTGCTCAAACTATTATCATTATCATCTCTAGTTTCATCTCTAGATTATCATCTCTAGTTATATCAATTAAAACTCATTCTCCCTCGACTCCTCATTTAGCAAAGTCTCATTCTTTTACTGTATCTGCCCCTGCATGCTCTAAAAACTTTTATTCATCTAGTTTTTTTTACCCCCAATTCAACCCTTTGGAACACTCTCCCATTTTCATGTTTTTGTAACTCATACAATGAACAGCTTTTCAAGTCTTCTGTCAACTGTCTCCTTGCTCTATAACTCCATTTTATTTTTTCTCTAGTAATTCCCTTATTAACTTAATAGTGGTTAGTTGCAGCTTTATTAGGAGTAAATCAGACTAAAAAAAAAGTAAAAAAATTAGACACTGATAAAAATATATCAAGAATTATACTTTTGAATTTTTATTTGAGATCTTCATTTTTTTTTAATTGACTGTAATCATTATTACAAAATTTAAAAAATATTTGGTTTGATATTTGTTTATATTTCATTTCAGTTTTAACTCATACTGTCAGAAGACATTGTTTACTTTGATATCTAGTTGTGTGAAAAACCAAGAAAGCAATAAAAATATGGTTTTACTTTCAATTTTGAAACAACTACAATCACTTGTATGTGCTCTCGAAGAGGTATTGCAATAAGAGTTTTACCTTACTGATTATCAAATTATTTTTGAAGCTTAAAATAATCCAACGCCATTATTAAAAATCTTTACTGAAAAAAAAACTGCATTATTGAACTGCATGTAATGGAGGTTCAATGACAGATGAATATATATATACACATACATATATATACATTTATATATACATATATATATATATATATATATATATATATATATATATATATATATATATATATATATATATATATATACATACATATATATACATATATATTTTATACATATATATATTATATATATATATACACACACAGGCCTGGCAGAAGGCATGTACAATGGGTGATTTTCACCCAGGTGCTAAGGCTTCGAAGGTGCCAAATTTTCATTGAATACTTTTTTTTTTCTTGACAATATAAAAATATATAATTTTGTAACAATAATTATTAAAAATTATTATTATTATTTATTTGTATAAATATATAATAATAATAATAATTATTAAAAATTATTATTATTATATATTTTGTAACAATAATTATTAAAAATTATTACCTATTTTATGTAAGAATAAGTATATAATAATCTATAATAAAAACTATAACAGCTCAAAAAAACTTTTTTTAAATTTTCTTAAATTTATTTAGTGTACAATTTTGTAAAATGTACAATAAATGCGCACTAAATATGAAATGCTTTAATTAATTAAGAACAAGTTATGTACTAGGCCTCCAAGAGGGAGGGACATAAGGGGATTACGTGCCTAGGGTGCCAAGATATTAGGGGTGCCAGATGATGAAAGACAAAAATAAAATCATAATGAAATTTTAATTGCAAAAAAGTAAATTTTTTTTTATTGATGAGGCATATAATAAATTTACTTTGTGATTTGCATAGCAAATAACTTGCTTTGTTTATATTACCAAAGAATTAAAGTTTTAATTTATTTCTTTAATTATTTATTTTAAAAATAAATTATTTAAAATTAAAATGTAACCATAAGGTTTCTTTATAAACCTGATGGTTATATTATAATTTTTAACAAAGAACCTGTTGAAGAAGTTAAAAATTGTCTAAAACCAAGTTTAAAAATGTAGGTGTGTTGACGTTTTCTCATCAAACTCAGCATATAATTAATTAAAAATGACCTGTCTAAAACCCCAACTAATCAAAGGTTACCCAGAATATCAGCACATATTTAAAAACCATGTTGCAAACTGTTGAAATAAATTAGCGCATAATGTAATTGATGTACCTACTGTAAAATCATTTTTAATTATTTTTATGATGATTGATTTTTATGACTTGGTTGCAGTGATGTCAATCATCAGCATATGAAAACCTTCCAAATATTAAAAGCAAACAATGAAAACAAAATCAGGACAAAAAGTTAAAGTGAATATCTTTAACGTTGAGCTTTGCCATTCTATTCCCCGAATTCAATTTAATATTGGGGTTGTAAAAACTATTTCGTTAAGATTCTCATTCATTTAGTTAAAAGATCAAGAACCGGTAAAAATTAAAACTTGAATTAGAAGACAACTTTATGGAAGATATTTAGCCTCTTAATATTTTGAAGTGACACTTTTCTCAAGCAAATATACTTAAATGATCTATAGCTTATATTCCAATCTATATGCATTCTAATTCAAATTTTTTAATGTAATGCCAGTACCTGTCGCAGAAGGTGAAAGACATTTAATTAAACTAAAATTGATTTAAAAAATGATTGTAGGGCCACTATAAAACAAAAAATTCAAGAATTTCTATTGGACATAAATATTGAAAATTTGTTTTCAATATTTTTGAATATTGAAAAACTTGTTTTCCATCCTGCTGTAAACTTTCAAATATTGAAAAATTTGTTTTCTATCCTGCTGAGAAATGGCACCTGTTATCTCTATTTTCAAAAATTCTGGAGAGTGATCTGACTTGTCTAACTCCTGTACAATTAGTTTTTTTCCTTTCACAAGCAAGGTTTTTGAGTCTTTAACTAATAAACATTTAATTTCTCATCTTGAATCTAATAACTTACTTTCTGATCATCAATATGGATTTCAATCTTCTCATTCTATGTCTGATTTGCTAACAGTAGTAACCGATAGGTTTTATTGTGCATTAGATAAAGGTGGAGAGGTTAAGGCCATTGCTCTTGACATTTCTAAAGCGTTTGATAAAGTTTGGCATGCTGGTCTTCTCCATAAGCTTTCTTCTTGCGGTATATCTGGAAACATCTTTAAGATTATGGAATCCTTCCTTTCCAATTGTAGTATAAAAGTTGTCCTTGATGGACAGCACTTTTCTTCATATCCTGTAACTTCAGGTGTTGCTCAAGGTTCTATCCTTGGCCCTACACTTTTTTTTTAATTACATTATTACATAATCAATTACATAGTTTGCATTATTACATAATTAATTTACATTATAAAATAAAATTACAATAAAATTTACATTATTACATAATTAATTACATAATTTAATTACATTTTAATTACAATTAACGATCTTCTAGAAATTCTTACATCTAAGGTGGCATTGTTTGCTGATGGTACTACCATTTATTCTTGTCTTCATAAGAAGCCAACACTTTCTGATTGCTTGGATGGGGCATTTGAGCCTAAAATGGATCTCACCTCTGCTACAGCATGGGTCTCTGAGTGGCTGATGAACTTTAACTCAGATAAAACTTTTTTCAGTTAATCCTTATCGCAATAATCTAGAACTTCCTATATTTATGAACGGTAGTATACTCAATGAGTCAATTACCCTTCATCTTCTAGTATTAGCTCTAACCGTTTTTTCTTGGAAACATACCAAATTGATTGTAAAATTAGCATCTCCTAAGGTGGCATGTCTTTATTGTGCTTGCCACTTTCTTACTCCAGATTCTATTCTTTATCTCTATAATTCTCAAATGTGTCCTAGTATGGAATACTGTCGCCATATGTGGGGCGGATCTTCAAATGATACCCTTTCTTTTTTAGACAAGATGCAAAAGCGCACTGTAAAAACTGTTGGACCTGCTCTTGCAGCCAACCTCCAACCTTTATCATATGGTTGTAATGTTGCTTCTCTTTCTCTTTTTTATAAATACTATAATGGACACTACTCTAAAGAGCTATCGTCTCTTATGCCATTTACTAAGTTTCATTCTTGTGTTACTCGTCATTCATAGAATGATTAGTTTAACATAAAACTATAAGTTTTCCCTATAATCAAAGTACATTTTTTTGTGATGTTGTTGCAAATAGGCAAGGATAGATCAAGTTAATTTAGATTTTTCTTTGAGTTTTTCCCTATTTTCCCATAGATATTTTGAGAGCGTGTTTGTATTTGAAAGTTATTTTTAATTGATTTCTTATGAGTTGCATATCTCTTTTTCCACATGCCCTCTGATAAACCAATCTATGTTTTACTTAGTGTGTTTAGGGAAGATGTTTTTTATTTGTAAATTAAATTTGCTCTACAATACTTATTTAACTGGCAGATTTCTTTTGGTTGGCAATTAAAAGGAAAATTTTCAGTCTTGTTTTTTTGTTGTGACTTTTTATGATTTTTGAAATACTGTTTGAACAGCTGTAGCAAATCTTTGTGGTGTTATGATTAAATAGTTTTGGCAATGGGTTTAAAGGTGGGAAATGTATTCATCTATTTATTGCAAAAAAATTGGGCCAAGTGACAGTTTTTTTATAAGTTTTATTTGGTAGAGGCGCTTTTATTGTAATGCGGGTGTTTTTGGGGGTGTTTTGTTTTTTAGATTTTACTTCAAGTTAGATTTTTAAAAACTATATTGTTTAAGAGCTTCTTTGTATTCCATTTTTCTTATCTTACCCCACTTTTTTACTTTGATAGAAAAAATCTGAATTTAAGATCTTGTTAGTTTAAGAAAGAAAATTGTCTTTAACATAGATAAAAATTGCATGGCA